GCACCGTGTGCAGGTTCACTGTGTCGTGTCTGTCAATCAGCATGCTTGACTGGACCATAGGAAGCACAACGGGAGTGAAGTGGGAGATTAATTGGACCATCTGATGCAGAATGTGGGGTGAATGCAAGACTGCGGAGCTGAGACTTTGTTGTATATGCAAGAGGGAAGGGTTTTGAGTCAGGGAATGTTATAATCGTGACTAGGCATTAGAAAAATGAACTGGTGAAGGAGGGCATCTTTGTCAGCAGTTCTATGTAGGATGCAGGAAGATAGGAGAGAGCAGAGGTGTTAGTTACAAAACACAGGCAAGAGTTCATAAGTGCTTCAAGTTTGGAAGTGACAGAGAGAATGGAAGAGAGGGAAGAGAAGTGACTTTGGGAGGAGGAAAGAAGGTTTATCAACATCCTGTTTTAATGTGGGAATCAAGCAGGATGTAGGCAGCAGGGAAGAGAAGAGCAACCTAGATCCCAGTCTGGGTCAAGCCAAAAAGACGATGCAGGGTGAAGGCCAAGAGATGGGGTTATTTAGCCTAGCAAAAAAAGGGCTAAACAGCACCTTAATGATAGCTCGTATGTATGTGAGAGACCAATAACAACTGCTTTCTGACTTTCTGAGAAAAACCTGGAGTTAAGGTCTGCAGAATTCAGATGAAATATAAGAAAAAAATTTCAAAATGGGGAAATTTTGAGGCATTTGAACTTCAGGATGGGTTTTGTTTCCAAGTATAAATCTTTGCCTCAGTGTCTCAAGATAGGAAGAGATGCCTCCTTCCCTCCCTCTCACTGGAAACCCAGCTCAGCTCATCCTCCGTCGGTGGCTTCCTCTCCGACAAGAAAACACAGCATTGCTGTTACCTTAAGGAAAAACAGAAGCATTTGATGTGGATTCGCCATTGGAAATGGCTGCACTAAATTCACAAAGGAATTCTGAATAATTAAAATAAGCATAATATAAAATAAGCATACCGAAAATAGCAGGTATAAGTTGGCTTGTGGTCATGTAACTATTAAAATGAAACCTCTTGAGGTGGCTCATAATGGAATGCCACTACAGAACAGCTTTGTCAGAAAAGAAAGGATGTCTGGAGGGCATTAGGGGAATCTCAAACCACTCAAGACAGAGGGTGACTGAGATGCTCCCGTTGGTTTCCTGCTCTGCTTCTCTGAGTCAACTGCCTTCTCTCCCTGCATGCTGAGCTCCACCAGGTCAGCCACCCGACAATGCCTGAATGACCTGTGTGCAGGGCAAGGGGCCAAGAGACAGCCAGATCATGGCTGTACCCCAATTCCAAATTCCTGGGGAAGAGCCTCTGGCCCAGCTCAGAGAACAAGATCATACAGCTCAAGCAAATGTGCTGAAAGGTTCCTGCTGCTGTGGAAGGGCAGACAGTTAGAGGGGAATGTTATGGGCTGGGCAGTCACTTCATAAAGGCACTTACTGCAGTCTCTTAATAAAATGAGACTTTGTCCACAAAGAGCTTGCTTTCTAGTGAACAGGACAGGCCCATATCTAAGGACTACATGTCCTACCTTAAAAATTTTGATTAACTCTTAGCCAGGCACGGTGGCTCACACCTGTAATCCCAGCACTTTGGGAGGCTGAGGTGGATGGATCACCTGAGGCCAAGAGTTTGAGACCAGCCTGGCCAACATGGTGAAACTACTAAAAATACAAAAATTAGCCGGTCGTGGTGGTGGGCATCTGTAGTCCCAGCTACTCGGGAGGCTGAGACAGGAGACTCACTTGAATCTGGGAGGCAGAGGTTGCAATGAGCCGAGATTGCAACACTGTACTCCAGCCTGGACAACAAAGAGCGAAACTCCATCTCAAAAAAAAAAATTGATTAACTCTTAAAAGAAATATATACTATGTATAAAGAAATATACATTAAGCACAGAGTAATTCATTCTGAGAGAGGAGAATCACAAACGAAGGAACATAGAACTAGGCTTTGGAAGAGAAGTAGAATAATGAAAGTCAGCTGAGGACAAATGGAAGCAGAGCACCGTGTGTAGGTTCACTGTGTTCTGTCAATCAGCATGCTTGATTGGACCAAAGCTCTCATCTGCTCTGAGTATATGGCAGAATAGTTGAAATGTAGAGCATAAAGAACTTCTAGCACAAAATAATTTATAACAGTCACCATTCTTATGGGGCGCAGTGGCTCACTCCTATAATCTCAGCATTTTGGGAGGCTGAGACAGGCGGATCGTGAAGTTAAGAGATTGAGACCATCCTAGCTAACACTGTGAAACCCTGTATCTACTAAAAATACAAAAATTAGCTGGGCGTGGTGGCATGCACCTGTAGTCCCAGCTACTCAGGAGGCTGAGGCAGGAGAATCGCTTGAACCTGGGAGGTGGAGGTTGCAGTGAGCCAAGATTGAGCCACTGCACTCCAGCCTGGGTGACAGTGAGACTCGGTCTCAAAAAAAAAAAGTCACCATCCTGAATGTTAGAATTATATCACACAATTAACTTATCTATTGAGATAAACATTGACCAGCCTTTGGCATCCCTGAAACTCAGGAAGACTCAGTCATCACTGTTCTGAGAACACACAGGAATCGCCACTTCTGTGGTTCTTCAAGCATCAAGCTGCAACAACTCTGTTTTGATTATGTCATTATACTTCCCTTCTCAGGGATTATGTGCATTTGAATTGCAGATCATAGAACTTTCTAGTAAGAACTTTAAGGTCCATACTGTCACATCTCTGTACTCCATAGTACCCCATTCCCTCTGATCGTTTTTGCCTATCTCCCGATAGCCAACCTCAGTGGTTTCAAATCCAGGTTGCACACTGATTCTTGGATCTCACCCCTAAATATTTTGATTCTAAGCACTGAGAGTCTGTATATAATTTAAAAACCTTTATTGACGCATAATTGACAAATGGCAAGCTATATGTAGTTAACATGCACAATTTGATAACTTTTAACATATGTATATGCCTGTGTGACACTATCACCAAAGTCAAGATAAAGAACATATTCACCCCCTCAAATTTTTCTGACATCACTTTGTAATCCTACCTTCCTGCCCTTTCCTTCTCTCACCTCCATCCTCAGACAACTACAGATCTGCTTTCAGTTATGGTAGATCAGTTGTATTTTCCAGAATTTTATACTCATTCTAGATCATTTTGTTTAGCTTCTATCACTGAATATATGATTTTGAGATTCATCTATGTTGCTGCTGTTATCAACAGTTCATTAATTTTTATTTCTGAGTAGCATTCATCGCATGGACACATCACAACATGTTTATGCGTTCACCCGTTGGTGGGCATTTGGATTATTTCTGAGTTTTGGCTGTTACAAATAAAGCTGTTATGTATGTTTGTTTACAAGTCTTTTATGGACATATGCTTTCATTTGTCTTGGGTAAATGCCTTGGAAGGAAATAACTGGACAATATGTTAGAAATATGTTTATGAGAAATTTCCAAACTGTTTTCCAATGTGGTTACACTATTTTACATTCCCACTAAGAATGTATGAGAGTTCCATTCCTCTACCTCATTGCCAACACCTTTGTTGAAAATCATTTGACTATTGCTGGGTTTTTTATTTTATTCCTTTAATCTATTTGTTTAACTTTATGCAAATGTCTTGGTTACTGGAGTTTTGTAATAAATCTGGAAGTCAGATAGTGTAAGTTCTGCAGCCTTGATTTTCCTTTTCAAAGTTGAGTTTTGTTTTAGTTTGTGGAGGTCCTTCACATTTCCAAATGAATTTTATAATCAGTCTGTCAATTTCTAAAAAGTGCCCACTGGAATTTGAACTGGAATTGCATTGAATCTATAGATTTATTTGGGGACTATTGACATCTTAACACTATCCAGTCTTCCAATCTACAAACATGGTTTATCTCTCTCTTTATTTAGGTCTTTCTAAATTTTTCTAAGCAATGTTTTGTAGTTTTCAGTGTACAACTCTTCAGTGTACAAACCTAGCTTTTGTCAGATCTATCTCAGAGTGTTTACATTTTTGATGTTATTGTTAAACATTGAATTGTTTTCAAATTGTAATATCAATTTGCTTATTGTGCATAAATACAATAACTTTTTTGAAAGAAAGCTTTTCTTTCTGAGGCAATTGTAGATTCACATGTAGTTGAAAGAAATAATACAGAGAGATCCAGTTTCCCCAATGGCAACATCTTGCAAAACTACAATACAATATTGAAACTAGGACATTGCCGTTAATACAGTTAAGACATGGAACTGTTCCATCACCACAAGGGGTCTTTTCTGTTGCTCTTTTAAAAGTTATGCCCACTTCCTTCTCAACCTGTTCCTGACCCCTGACAACTAGTAATCTGTTCTTCATTTCCATAATTTTGTCATTTCAAGGATGTCACATAAATGGAATCATCCATATTCAACCTTTTATGATTGGCTTCTCCTAATAAGTCACTGGAGATTTATACAAGTTGAGTGTTTCAATAGTTTATTCTTCTTATTGTTAAGTAATAGTCTATGGTACTGATATGTGATAGTTTTCTTAGCCTTTCAACCTTTGAATGACATTTCACTTGCTTCCGATTTTTGGTGTTATAAATGAAGCTGATATGAACATTTGTGTACTGCTTTTATGTGGAACTAAGTTTTTATTTCTCTGGGATATATGCCCAGGAGTTCAATTGCTGGGTCATACGACAGTTGCATGTTTAATTTAATAAGAAACTTCCATACTGTTTCTCAGAGTGGATGTACCATTTTACAGTTTGACATTCCCACCAGCAATATAATCTGGTTTCTCCATATTCTTGCCAGTGTTTGGTGTTGTCACTATTTTTTTCTATTTTAGCAATTCTGATAGTTATATAGTGATGTCATTATTTTAATTTACATTCCCCTAATGGCTAATGATGTTGAATATCTCTTAGATCTGTTTGTTTTCCATCAGGATATTCTCTTAGGTAAATGTCCATTCATATATTTTGACCATTTTCTTTTCTTTTTTTTTCTTAGGTTTTTTAATCCACTTAACAAAAATACAAGAGCACAAATCCACGTTTATTTATTGACTTTTCATTAGTTTAAATCCTTGAGGGGTACAGCATCACTCGGATTCTGTGTACAATAGCCTTAGCAAGAAGTTTGCTTTGGAATTTGGCACAAACCATGCCACTGTTTCTGTGGGCCCGAGGTGCCTTGGTTTGCTGCCAGGAGTCACTGTGTTATTTTTTGCTTTGTATACATAAGTGCATCTTTTGCCCAAATAGAATTCTGTTTCATCTCAGGCATAAACACCTTCAATTTTAAGAAGAGCTGTGTGCTCCCTTTGGCTCTGGAGACCCCGCTTATAGCCTGCAAAAATAGCCTTTCAGACATAGTTCCTTTTATAAGTCCTGTTCCCAACAGGCTCCAGTTATTTGCCCCCAAATTTCAGCAGCAGGTGCTTCACTCGCCTCCACAGGAGCTTGACCATTTTCAATTGTATTTCTTTTTACCGTTGAGTTTTGAGAGTTACATATTCTAGATTCTAGTCCTGGTTCTTTGTTGGATATGTGGCTTGCAATTATTTTTTTCCAGTCTGTAGCTTGTCTTTTCGTCTCCTTAACTGGGTCTTTCCCAGAGCAAAAGTTTTTATATACATAACACACACACACACACACACACACACATATATATGAAATGTACATTTTTAATATATATATTAGTATGAGGTAAAGTGATGCTTCCTACTTTACTATTCTTTTTTAAGATGGCTTAAGCTATTCTAGAGCCCATAGCTTTTCTCATAAATTTTAGAATAAGTTTGCTGTATCTACAAAAAATCCTACTGGGATTTGATAAAAATTGCATTAAACCTATAGATCAGTTTGGGGAGAATTGAAATCTTTAGCTAGGCTGAGTCTTCCAATCCATGAACATAGTGTGTCACTCCATTAATTTAGATTTTATTTGACTTCTTTCTTGAGAAGTTTAAGATTTCTACCATAAAGATACTATACATCATTTCGGTGAGTGTGTATCTAAGTATCTCATTGTAAAAAATAATGATTATAAATGGTATTGTGTTTTTAAATTTTGGTATTCATGTATTCATTTTTATAGAAATGTAATTGATTTTTGTGTGTTTCTCTTGTATCCTGCAGCTTTGCTGAACTCACTCATTAGTTTTAGTTTTATTTTGTAGTTTTCCTTAGGATTTTCTATGTAGTTAATCATGTTATCTGCAAAGAAAGACAATTTTATACCTTCCTTTCCAATCTGTCTGCTTTTAATTTTCTCCCCTGCCTTATTACTATGATTAGATTTTCCAGTACTATGTTATATAAGAGTGGTGAGAGTAAATATCTTTTCTGTTCTCAGTCTTGGAGAAAAAGCATTTAACTTTTCACTATTAAGTAGGATGTTAGCTGTAGGGTTTTCACAGATGCCCTTTATCAAGTTGAGGTATTTCCTGTCTATCCCTAGTTTCATGAGAGCTTTTATCAAGAATCAATGCTGGATTTTGTCAAATACTTTTTCTTTTTTTTTACATCATTTGAGTTGATTATACTGTTTTTCTTTTGGAGCCTGTTAATATGGAGAAGTTATTGTTTAATATTAAAATGTCAAACAATTCTGCATTTCTGGGATAAACTCCATTTGCCCATAGTGGATGCTGCTGCTGCTTCTGTTTCTTCTTCTGCTTCTTCTTCTTCTGCCTCTTCTTCTTCTTTTCTTTTTATAAGAGCTACCATTTATTAAGTGTTTACTATGTGGTGGACATTGTTGTAAATTATATATAAGTACTCTATTGTCTTCATTTCACAGAAAAAGAAATGGGCCTTACAGAGGATAAGTATCATCACCAAAAGATATGAGCTGAAGCAACCTGCCGTGAAAGTCCAAACTCACCAGTGCTAAACTGCTTCCCAGAGATACCATTATTTCAGATTAATTGTCCAACATGATATTTTTGTAGGGGACTATTTTCAGCCATGCAGGATATTGTTCTCTTTCCTCACATTCTCTTTCTGTTCTCAGAGGACGGAACATGCAGCATGAAGCAATAGCTGCAGTTTTAGAGTTTCTCATCTTGTCTCCTTCCCTTAACAACTTTTTTCTTATATATTCTTGGTTTTGAATTGTTAACATTTTGTTAAAATTTTTCATGTATGTGTTCATGAGGGTTATTAGTCCATCGTTTTCTTGTAAGGTTTGCTTCGTTTGGGTATCAGAATAATTCTGGCCTTATTAGAATGAATTGGAAAGATTTTCCTCCTCTTCAATTTTATGGAAGATTTTGGGTAGAATTGATGATATTTCTTTCTTAAATGTTTGGTAAAATTCTCAGTGAATTTATATCTTCCCTGGAGTTTTCTTTGTAGAAAGGCTTTTAAGAAAAAAAATTAGTTTCTTTATTAGAGATAGTGGTTATTTATGTATTTTCAAATGAGCTTTGATATTATGTCTTTTTTTTTTTTTTTGAAGACAGAGTCTTGCTCTGTCACCCAGGCTGGAGTGCAGAGGTGTGATCTCAGCTCACTGTACCCAGATGCCCACCATTTTTTTATTTTTAAATAAAAAATGCTGGATAATTTTTTTTTAATTTTCAGTAGAGATGGGGTTTCACCATGTTGGTCAGGCTAGTCTCAAACTCCTAAACTCAGGTGACCCATCTTCCTCAGCCTCCCAAAGTGCTAGGATTATAGGTGTGAGCCACTGTACCTTGCCAATATTATGTCTTTCAAAATATTTGTCCATTTTATTTAAGTTGTTGAATTTATTGGCATAACATTGTTCATAATATTCCCTGTTTATTTTTTAAGATCTGTAATCTGTAGAATCTGTAACGATAGAATTCTCTTATTCTTGACAAAGGTAGTTTGTATATTTTCTTTTTTTTAAATCCTGATTAGAGGGACTCTAGTTGACAGTCTCTAGAAACAGAGATTAGAGCCTGACTAGAGGTGTTAAAATTTTATTGACCTCAGGAAACCAGCTTTTTGTTTCATTGTTTTTTTTTCTTCCGTTATTTCCTTATTCCCCAGTGATTTTAAAAGTTATTAACTAAAATCTATACTATATTCAGATTTCCTTAGTTTTTACCTAATGACCTTTTTCCATTCCAGGATTGCCTCCAGGATATATTACATTTAGTTGTCACACCTCCCTAGGCTTCTTTCTCTTGGCTATGAGTTTAGATTTTTCTTGGTTTTGATGACTATGACAATTTTGAGGAGTACTAGTCAGGTATTTTGTAGAATGTCTCATAATTGGGATTTGTCTAATGTTTTTCTTATGATTAGACTGGGATTGTGGGATCTGAAGAGGAAGAGCAAAGGGGTAAATCATCATTTTCATCACATCATATAAAGATTACATACTATCAATATAATTTATGACTGTTGTGACTCTTGATTACATGGCTGAAGTCATATTTGTTAAGTTTGGATCATAATGAGAGGCAATATCTTGAACACTGAAATTCTGAAATGCACATTCTGGGGAAGGTATTAGTGCATTTTCAGTTGTATGCAGGATAGCTGCCTCATTTTAGTTGCATCATTTAAGGTGAAACTATTAGCATATTATTCTCTTTATACACTTTTGGCAGAAAGTTCAGATGAGTGGATTGGCCACACAATGTGATATGGACAGAGTGAAAACTTCAGTTTAAAAATTTATCATTTCTCTGCATTGGCGTTTCTTCCAGCTGATTAAATCCTAGGAACTTTTAATGAATTAAAGCTGCATTTGCCTGAAGAAGCCAGCAAAGTTACTGCCTGGCTCAAAAATAATTATGTTCATGATAGGATAAGAAGATACTTATACAGCAGTGTTGCCATTCTATCATCAGTATTTGTGGTCTTTACATGGGTGCAAGCAGAATTAATTTCCACATACCCAAAACAATGTAGAAACGTGGTACACATGGCAACATTTAGTGGGAAATGCTCCTGTCAATACAGATTGAATCATAGAAGAATTCCAAAAAGAGCAGTGCCACATAGAAAATGAATGTGAGCTTATTCTTTGAGGAGAGCCATGCCTAAAAGATAAAAATCAGCTATTCATCACAATGCAAGACTTCAAAAGAATAGTTAATGATCATGGGAGTTGGCCAGTTCTTATGGACTACGTACAATTGCCCACTTTCTAGCCTTGTAATATATTTTTCATATGCTGAATTTTCTTTTTAGTTTTTTTCTTACTTTTCCCCCACTATTTTAAAGTGTCGGCATTATATTTTACAATTTGCTATGCTAAGTATTTCTCTTTGCATCATTTGTGATACTAGAGGTATAAACCGTGTAAAGACTTTTGGAGAGTTCTAATTTGTTTTATGCATTTTTTTTTGCAAATTTGTCCTCCTGAAAGTGCATTATCATAACACTGACTCTGCGTGTAAGCATTGTGCTTGTACATAAAAACACTAAAACTTTCTCAATAAATGAAGAGATGTCCTCTTTGTACATCTGCATTTGTGAAAGGTAACATTTTTTGAGATCTAGGCTCTTTGGGCAACTGCATATGCAGCGGTGACCCATTGCAGTTTTTGATCCATTTTATCCAACGACTTAGGTCACCTGTCACAGTATTTCAGATAACTGAAATTATAAACATTGGTGCTCACAATTACCAACCATCGTGATCTACAGGTATCTACATTTTGCTTTTGACCTATTTCTTTATGGATACGGTTCCTCTGTTTATAACTGTTATATCTCTGCAACTGTTGTTAGTATATCTGAGTGTGTATGCTTGCAAAAATATATGTTATTGCCTATTTCATTGTGTAAAGTGGCCTATGAAGTGTTCTGGTGTATTTCTCAAAGACTCTTTTAAAAACATAAATATTTTTAAAAGAAATTTTTAAAATTGGTTTTTCCAGAATTACATTTTTAATACTTTGAGTTTTTGAGATTTCAACATTTGGAATTATGATGTTTGGGATTATGTTTTCCGGGATTATGATTAGCTCCCCTGTTTGTTATGTTTCTTCACTGTAAAGTTACCCCCTGCCCCACCTTCAACACTGTACTCATTGGAAGGAAGTCATATGTGCTGCCCACTCTTAAGAAGCCAGGAGTTATGTTCCACCTCCTTGAGGGCAGAGTTCCTACATAAATTATTTGACATTTTGTGTATGAATGATTTTTCTCTTCTTTCCCATTTATTTATTCAATCATTTACTTATATATCAACATGGATTCTTGTATATTTATTTAATACTTTGGTTCATAATCCAATGATAGATTATTTGTTTTCTTGCCCAAATTGTTGCAACTTTGCCTTTGGGAGCAGTTTTAGTTTGCTCCTCTGTCCTTTTGACATAGCCCCCCCCCATTATTTTGTGTGTGTGTGTGTGTGTGTGTGTGTGTGTGTGTGTGTATGTATGTTTTCTTTTGGAACCCGCTGTCTTGCACTGCATGATTCTCTAGTCTTATCTTGTTTATTTTCTGCTAAGTCACTGAAGCAGCAATTTTTCCAAGGAGGCTTGGTTTCATTTTATCAGAGAATCGTATTAGAAACTAAGATCTGGATGCTCTGTGTGTTTGTCCCTACAGAGGTACCATTGCTTCTAGGTCCTCTCAGGTGATGAAGCAAGGGAAATATACTTGTGTAAATACTAACTTATTTATATACACATATCTATAAATATTTTTATATATAACCATCTGTATCTATGGTACGAAAAATATGATTTCATAATGATGTCTCCAACTGTCATCTTTTACCACATGGACCATTCATTCTGTTCTCTTCCCTTTGATTATCTCTAGCTTCCCACCCCATCAGTGAGAAAGCTGGCTTCCACCATCTGCCATCCATTTACTTAATTGTTCAATTCCAGTACACATGTATAATAAGAGAATTGTTAGCCTGTAGCCCCATAGCCCCATATGAAACAGCTTTATTACCTAGAGTATGTGCTTATGTGCCATTCTTTTTGCCTTAAGTCTTATAGACTCCATTCATTTTCAAAGTTACTTATACTAATGCCTTCCCCCTCTTTTACTGATCTGTGATCTAATCTTTATTATTTTATTTTTTCTGCTTATACAGCTTTTAACTTTCTCTTCTTATTCTAGCTTCTTAAGGTCAAAGCTGAAGTTACTGACTTGAGAGTTTTCTTCTTCTTTTTTTTTTTTTTTGAGATGGAGTCTCATCCTGTCACCCCAGCCCCAGGCTGGACTGCAGTGGCGCAGTCTCACCTCCCAGGTTCAAGTGACTCTCCTGCCTCAGGCTCCGGAGTAGCTGGGATTACAGGTGCACACCACAATGCCCAGCTAATTTTTGTATTTTTAGTAGAGATAGAGTTTCACCACGCTGACCAGGCTTATCTTGAACTCCTGATTTCAGGAGATCCGCTTGCCTAGGCCTCCCAAAGTGCTGGAATTACAGGTGTGAGCCACCATGCTGGCCTTCTTTTCTTTTCCTTTCCTTCCTTCTTTCTTTTCTATCTCTCTCTCTCTGGTTTTTTTTTTTTTTTTTTTTTTTTTTTTTTTTTTTTTGAGACAGTGTCTTGCCCTGCCACCCAGGCTGAAGTAAAGTGGCATGATCATAGCTCACTGCAGCTTTGAACTCCTGGATCCTTCTTCTTCACCTCTCAAGTAGTTGGGACTATAGGTGCATGCCACTATACCTGACCAATTTTGTTTGTTTGTTTGTTTGCTTTGCAGTTTTTATAGAGAGAGGGTCTTTCTATGTTGACCAAGCTAGTCTCAAACTCCTGGCCTTAAGTTATTCTCTCTCTTCAGCCTCCCAAAGTGCTGGCGTTGCAGGCATGAGCCATCATACCTGACTCTTCTTTTCGAATATGAGCATTTAGTGCTATAAATTTACCTCTATGTACTGCTTGGGCTGCATCCCACAAATTCTGATATGATGTATTTTCATTTTTTTATTCTAAAATATACTCTATTTTTTCTTGTGATTTC